AAACCACCACTCCAGGAAAAATTCTTGAAAATTGGCTAAATTTAGGGAAATTCACTTTCTTACATTTCATTTTTTTTCTGGAAAACTAGCAGAGGGAAAAGTGTGAAATTTTTAGAGGAAAATGAAAAGCTCATTATAGGAAAATTTTTAAAAAATTTCAGTGAAAAACCACTTTAGGATTTTTTTTTAAAAACTAGCCAAATTTAAGGAAATTCACTGTCTTACATTTTATTTTTTTCTGGAAAACTAACATAGGAAAAATTGTGAAATTTTTAGAGGAGATTAATAACTATTACCGAGTTATGAAAGCTTCAGAATTGCAATTTCCAGAAAAAAAATTTAAAAAACTTCAAACTCAAAAATCTGGAAAACCATAAGTCGTAGAAGAAAAATTCAAAATACTTCTTAATAGTACTCATTGAAAGTTACAATTTTCATGTGAAAAGTTTTTCTCTCAGACTTACGGTTTCCAAGTTATAGTCGTTTGAAATTTCAAATCCAAAAAAACATCAACTTAGGTATCCCTTATGAAAAATTGTGGAAATTTCAACTTTAAATGCTCATAACTTCGAAATGGGATGATTCTGGATAAGGCAATTTTGTAAACAATTTAATCCTCCATGGAAGGGAACATAATTTATTAAAATTGGTCCAGGCGTTCCAGGAGTTATGGCCCATTTAATTAGACCATATCGGGATGGAAAAATCTCTGTATTAATTTTCTTTTTTGATTTTTTTCCAGGATTAGGAGACGTCCTATGGGGAAATGCTAAGGAGCTTTTTTCCTTGTTTCAACCTTCTTTATATGTTTTCCCGAAATTCGGAAAATTTCGATTTCCCATTTTTTAGGGAATAGAAAAGAGCCGGAAATTCCCAGAAAAACAGGAAATTAAGGAGGGAAAAGTGGGTTCCGACATTTCTTATTATGATGTAGTCAAAGAAAATTTGGAAAATTTCGACTTTGATTTTTTGGCCAAAAAAATCAAAGGACCCAATAGATTTTGAAATTTCAAAGTTAAATATCTGAAAAGTTTTCTTCTATGACTTGAAGGAAGCCAAAAACCAAAGTCAAAATTTCGGAATTTCAAAATAACCATTTTATAGAATGGGTCCCAAAACCAATTTTTTTTCACTTAATTTTCCAATTTTCCAGGACTTATCCAGTTTTTTTCAAATTGAATGCAGCCTCCTGTAATTTTTTTTCCTGAAAAACAGGGAAAAGTATGAAATTTTTTGGGGAGAAAAAGAAAAGTCGGGAGCTCATCATAACGAAAATTCAAAATTTTTCAGTGAAAAATAACTCCAGGAAAAAGTTTTGAAAATTAGCCAAATTTAGGGAAATTCACCCTCTTACATTTTATTTTTTTTTCTGGACAACTAGCGAAGGAAAAATTGTAAAATTTTTAGAAAAAAAAGATGAAAAATAAGAGCTCATTAAAGGAAAGTTTAAAAATTTAACAGTAAAAAATCACTTCAGGAAAAATTCCTGAAAATTAGCCAAGTTTATGGAAATTTACCCTTTACATTTTAATTATTTTCTGGAAAATTGTGAAATTATTATAGTAGAAAGAGGAAAGTTGGGAGCTCTTTTAGGAAAAGTTTCAAAATTTTCCAGTGAAAAACCACTCCAGGAAAAATTCTTGGAAATTAGCCAAATTTAGAGAAATACACCCTCTCACGTTTAATTTTTTTTTTTTAAATAGACAAAGGAAAAATTGCTTAATTTTCAGAAGAAAAAGAGGAAAATGAGAAGCTCATTATAAGAAAATTTTAAAATTTTCCAGTGAAAAACCACTACAAGAAAAATTCTTGAAAATTAGCCAAATTTAGAGAAATTCACCCTCCTATATTTTGTTTTTTTTTTTCTGGAAAACTGACAAAGGGAAAATTGTGAAATTTTTAGAGAAGAAAGAGGGAAGTTAGGAGCTCATTTTAGGAAAGTTTCAAAATTTTCCAGTGAAAACACACACCAGGAAACATTTTTGAAAATTATCCAAATTTAGGGAAATTCACACTCTTACATTTTTTTTTCTGGAAAATTGGCGAAGGGAAAATTATGAAATTTTTAGAAAAGAAAGAGGAAAGTTGGGAGCTCATTTTGAGAAAGTTTCGAAATTTTCCAGTGAAAACACACTCCAGGAAAAATTCCTGAAAATTAGCTGAATTTAAAGAAATTGACCCTCTTACTTTTTATTCTTTTTCTGGAAAACTGACAAAGGGAAAATTGTTAAATTTTTTAAGAAGAAAGAAGAAAGTTGAAAGCTCATTTTAGGAATGTTTCAAAATTTTCCAGTGAAAAACCACTTTAGGAAAAATTCTTGAAAATTAGCCAAATTTAGGGAAATTCACCCTCTTACATTTTGTTTTTTCTCTGAAAAACTGGCAAAGGGAAAATTGTGAAATTTTTAGAGGATAAAGAGGAAAGTTGGAAGCTCATTTTAGGAAAGTTTCAAAATTTTCCAGTGAAAAAACATTCAAGAAAAAATTCTTGAAAATTAGTCAAATTTAGGAAAATTCACCTCTCACATTTTTTTTTCTCTGAAAAACTGGCAAACGGAAAATTGTGAAATTTTTAGAGGATAAAGAGGAAAGTTGGAAGCTCATTTTAGGAAAGCTTCAAAATTTTCCAGTGAAAAACCACTCTAAGAAAAATTCTTGAAAACTAGCCAAATTTAGGGAAATTCACCCTTCTACATTTCATTTTCTTTCTGGAAAACTGGCAGAGGGAAAATTGTGAAAATTTTAGAAGAGAAAGAGGGAAGTTGATAGCTCATTTTAGGAAAGTTTCAAAATTTTCCAGTGAAAAAACATTCAAGAAAAAATTCTTGAAAATTAGTCAAATTTAGGAAAATTCACCTCTCACATTTTTTTTTCTTCTGAAAAACTAGGAAAGGGAAAATTGTGAAATTTTTACAGGAGAAAGAGGAAAATTGGGAGCTCATTTTAAGAAAATTTCAAAATTTTTCAATGAAAAACCACTCCAGGAAATTTCTTGAAAATTAGCCGAATTTAGGGAAATTCACCCTCATAATTTTTATTTTTTTTTTCTGGAAAACTGACAAAGGCAAAATTGTGAAATTTTTAGAGGAACGTTGAGAGCTCATTTCAGGAAAGTTCCAAAATTTTCCAGTGAAAAACTACTCCAAAAAAAATTCTTGAAAATTACCCAAAGGACCCCACACTTCTTATGGAATTTCTGACCGCGGTCAAATTTAACCAAATTTTAGTATGTTATAGATCTCACCTTTCTGATCAATAACTCTCATTGTCACAACTTAATCCTATGACTAGTTTCTGAGATACAGGTAGTTTAATGTCCAAGAAATGCACACATTTTATATGCATTTACATCTACCTGTCACCTAAAAATGCCAGGATGAACAGGTATCCTCACGCTCAGGTGACAGGTAGATGTGAATGCATATAAAATGTGTGCATTTCTTGGACATTAAACTACCTGTATCTCAAAAACTAGTCATAGAATTAAGTTGTGCCCATGGTAGTTAATGATCAGAAAGGTGAGATCTATAACATACTAAAATTTGGTTAAATTTGACCGCGGTCAGAAATCCCATAAGAAGTGTGCAGGGTCCTTTAGGGAAATTCACTTTCATACATTTAATTTTTTTTCTAGAAAACTGACAAGGGGAAAATTGTGAAATTTTTGGAGGAAAATGAGGAAATTTGGGAGCTCATTTAAGGAAAGTTTCAAAATTTTCCAGCGAAAAACCACTCCAGGAAAAGTTCTTGAAAATTAGCGGAATTTAGGGAAATGCTCCCTCTAACATTTAATTTTTTTTTCCTGAAAAACTGGCAGAAAGAAAATAGTGAAATTTTTAGAAAAGAAAGAGGAATGTTGGTTGCTCATTTTAGGAAAGTTTCAAAATTTTCCAGTAAAAAACAACTCCAGGAGAAATTTTTGAAAATTAGCCAAATTTAGGGAAATTCACTCTCTTATATTTATTTTTTTTCTGGAAAACTGGCGAAAGGAATATCGTGAAATTTTTAGAAGTTAGGAACTCATTTTAGGAAAGTTTCAATATTTTCCAATGAAAAACCACTCCAAAAAAATTCTTGAAAATTAGCCGAATTTAGGAAAATTCACCTTCTTACATTTTATTTTTTTTTTTCTGGAAAACTGACAAAGGAAATATTGTTAAATTCTTGGAGAAGAAAGAAGAAAGTTGAAAGCTCATATCAGGACAGTTTTAAGATTTTCCAGTAAAAACCACTCCATGAAAAATTCTTGAAAATTAGCCAAATTCAAAAAAATTCACCCCATTACTTTTTTTTTTTTTTCTGGAAAACTGACAAAGGGAAAATTCTGAAATTTTTAAAGAAGAAAGAGGGAAGTTGGGAGCTCATTTTAGGAAAGTTTCAAAATTTTCCAGTGAAAATACACTCCAGGAAAATTTTTTGAAAATTAGCTAAATTTAGGGAAATTCACCCTCTTATATTTTAATTGTTTTCTAGAAAACTGGCCAAGGGAAAATTGTGAAATTTTTAGAGGAAAAAGAGGAAAGTTGGAAGCTCATTTAAGGAAAGTTTCGAAATTTTCCATTAGAAAATGACTCCAGGAAAAAATCTTGAAAATTACCTGAATTTAGGGAAATTCACGCACTTACATTTTCTAGAAAACTGGCAATGGGGAAAATTGTGAAATTTCAAGAGGAGAAATGAGGAGCCCATTATAGGACAATTTTAAAATTTTCTAGTGTAAAACCTCTCCAGGAAAAATTCTAGAAAATTACCCAAATTTAGGGAAAATCACCCTCTTACATTTTATTTTTTTCTCTGGAAAACTGGCAAAGGGAAAATTGTCAAATCTTTAGAGGAGAAAGAAGAAAGTCGGGAGCCCATTTTAGGAAAGTTACAAAATTTTCCAGTGAAAAACCACTCCAGGAAAAATTCTTGAATATTAGCCAAAAACCCTCTTATACATATTTTATTTTTTCCCTGGAAAACTGACAAAGGGAAACCTACCAAATAAAAAACAATTTTTAGGAAATTAGAAGGCTACTTATTTATTAATATTATGGTTTTAATAAAAAGCTAATAATGACTTCAGTGCACAACGAAAACGAAATTAATGTAAAAATGATTAAAACTGGAAAAACCTGCCAAACAGCAAAATACAGACTTTATTTTTTTTAAAATGCGACTAGTCTTAAATACCTAAATGTGAACAAAATAGTAGAAAAACTTATTATCCTTGTTGATCGCTGGGTGACCTGACATCATCAATTTTCAAAATCATTTTAACAAGCTGAGTAGCCAACAGCAGCTGTTGCCTCTTAGACTTTAGAGATTCAATCACATGTTGCTCCCTCATATTCATATTTCCAGTAAACATACAATCGATACCTAAAGCTGGATCTCCACTAGCCGATTGCTTGGCTTTAAGTTCGCCCAAAGTGTGAATTGCTGAAAGCCCGCTGTTTTCTGCTAGAGCCAAAGGAATTGCTTCTAAAGCTTCAGCAAAGCCTCTGTAAGCGTATTGTTCCAAAGAAGCTAATTGGTCAGCTTGGGCCGCTACAGCTAAACTGCAAGCGATTTCGGCTGCGCCTCCTCCGTAGACGATGTTGGGTTCTTGCACCAAACTACGGACTACGCACAAGGCGTCGTGTAAGCTACGCTTGGCTTCTTCGATTAACATTTTGTTGCCTCCACGTACTAGAATTGTTACTGCCCTGCAAAAAAAAACCACGATTATTAGTTGACGAAGAAATGATTTCTCAATGTAAACATGATCCACAGAATGAGCCCAAAATAAAAAAAGTAAAGGTTGCCATTGGAAGGGAAGGAGCCTGGAGAACAAGTGGAGGGGGTCAGTTTAAGACCCCATCATCTACTAATGTGCTTTGATAAAATATTCACCTGAATGAAACAATCAAATTCTGTTGGAACTGAGACTATATTTGTCTTGTGTGATATACCCTTTGTCTGATCTGGTTTATTAATAAAAAGTCTTGCTAACTTTACGAGTGTTTTGAAAAATTCTATTCAGTGTTTGGACTTTAGCTTTTCTTACTTGGCGGTCAGCTGCTTTCTCAACTTCATTCACTCGTCCCTTTGACCAATTATTTCTTGGTAAATCTCTATCACATATGATTACTAAATGTCCTTCTTCAAATGGTTAAGTTTGTGTGAACCATTTTGATCTTAATAGAAGAGTAGGAATATATTTTGCGACAAAACGACTCCAACATTTATTAGCGAATTGTTCTCTATGTAAATAACTATTTTTGAAAACTTCATTATCATCATCATCAATTTAAGCCAGTGGTTTATCACCATTAGAAGAACCCAAAAGAAAATGATAAGGTGTCAAAGATTCTGACTCTTCTGAATCTAGAGGTAAATATGTCAATGGTCGTGAATTAACGATATTTTCTGCTGCTAATAGACAGCTATTAAGTAATTGATCTGAAGGTGTTCTTGTTGGTAATGCATTGTGAAGGGATATCTTATATGTATACAGTAAGTTTATAAAGTTCCGCATAAATTCATTATTTTGAAAACGATAGAATTTTGGAAAAATCGTTCAGACACGTCAATTTTTTTTTTTTTTTTTTGAAATTTTTCGATATATTTTTTATCATACAGGGTGTCTCAAAAATAGCTTCGCTGGTAAAGTATGACCAATATCAGTTGAAAATCGCATCTCTTAGGAGAAACCCCTTATAATAATATATAATTATTTTTATATTTTTATGCCTAGTCCTGGTACACTATTTCAAAGACACCGCACGCCGGCAAAAAAATTTGAAAAATGTGGGCAATGCTGCTGGTCTTTATCGCTTACCGACAAAGCCAAGCCGTTCTTGTTGACAGTGTGAGATATCTCTTTAGAAGTGGACAAAAGTATAAAATTACACAGATAATTGAATAAAAATCGATTTCAAATTTGAATTTTTAATGAAGGAATAATAGCATTTAAATATTTATATTTGATTTATTTCAATAGTTTAAAACGGAATTTTAAGGATTACCTACTATATGAATTTTGCTCCTTTATTTAATGTATTAACCCCACTGTATTCTAAAAGTAAATCAGCTAGAATTTCGGGGCAATGGCGTTCGTCATTTCAGATTTTATGGAAATATCTGGAGTATGTTTATTCTTTATTAACCAATTTGTTTTCATTTGTTATAAAAATAATATTTAGACGCCTATGGATTCCCACGTGACTTGAAAGAGATCGACTGAGCCGCCTTTTTTATGAAGTTTCAATTAATAATGGTTAAACTTTATCAACTTTATTTTTTTAAATGGTACCCCCTGTATATTATGACATTTCTGTATTCTGCGTAAAATTCTTGACATATTTCATGTACAATGTCATATATACCTATCTTCAACTGTGTCGGAAATATTGACAGTTGAAAATTGATTTCTTTGCAACTTTGACAGGCTGTGAAACATAGGGCCAGTTTTTCAATAGCGAGTCACCCTTGGGTTAAGCATAATTCCAGGGTAAACATAACATAACAGGAACTAGACACGCTTACCAAGGACTTTGGAGTTGAAACTAACCCGGAGATGACTCGATATTGAGAAACCGGCCCCTAAACGGTTAATTACAGAGGAAAACCGATTTTTCATTCCTATCTTAGATTTTCATTTGACATCAACTTTGAATAAAACCAATGATAGTTTATGAAAAACCAAGACAAGAATGTATGATCGATTTTGCTGTAAAATCAACCGTTCAAGTTTAACAGTCTGTTAAAGCAAAAAAGTCAATTTTCAACAGTCAATATTTCCGAAACAGTTGAAGATAGGTATATGACATTGTACATGAAGTATGTCTAGAATTTTTCGGAGAAACAGGAAATGTCAAAATATACAGGGGGTAATATTTGAAAAAATAAAGTTGATACCAGCAAAGCTATTTTTGAGACACCCTATATGATAAAAAATATATCGAAAAATTTCAAACAAAAAAACAAAATTGACGTTTTTCAAAAAGTCTACCGTTTTAAAAATAATGAATTTATGCGGAACTTTATGAGCTCACTGTATATAATTATTGGTTTATCACGCTCTATGTATGTCTTTCGATTCCCGATCTCCAACCATCTCTGTGGATCCAGGCATCCTCCTCTAAGCTTCTGTATCTCATTTCTTCGTCCACTCCATTTCTCCAGCTTTGGTCTGCCACATCTTCTTCTTCCCCCTGGCTTCCACTCAATTATTTGCTTGGGTATTCTTGTATCTGCCATTTTTTGTACAGGGTAATTTTTTATATTTTCCCACCCCCTTAACTTTTTTGTGCCACTGTGTATAAAAAAAATTTAAATAGGAAAGTTGTAGTGCTTGGAAAATAGTTCTCAGAAAACATGGTTTTGTTCATGCAGGGTGTTGTAAAAAGTTTAAAAAACAAAAAAGTATATTTTTTTTTAAATGGGACATCCTGTATATTATGATATTTCTGGATTCTGCGGAAAATTCTAGACATATTTCATGTATAATGTCATATACCTAACTTCAACTATTTCGGAATGACTTTTTTGCATCTTTGACAGACTGTAAAACCTAAACCGTTGATTTTATAGCAAAACCGATCATAAATGCTTTTCCTATTTTTTTATAAAATATCATTTGACACCAACTTTGAATTTAATCCATGATTGGTGTCAAATGCTAGCTTATGAGAAGCTGCCAACAAGAATGTAAAATCGGTTTTGCTGTAAAATTAACAGTTTAGGTTTTACAGCCTATCCGAGAGCCTATCAAAGTTGCAAAGTCAATTTTCTATAGTCAATATTTCCAAAACAGTTCAAGATAGGTATATGACATTATACATGAAATATGTTTAGAATTTTCTTCAGAATCCAGAAGTGTCATAATATACAGGGTGTCCCATTTAAAAAAAAAATATTTTGTTGTTTTTTAAACTTTTTGCAACACCCTGTATGAACAAAACTATGTTTTCTGAGAACTATTTTTCAAGCACTTCAACTTTCCTATTTAATTTTTTTTTATACACAGTGGCACAAAAAAGTTAAGGGGGGTGGGAGAATATAAAAAATGATCCTGTACATGTCGAAACCAAATCAGCTGTTTGTCCTTTATATTATCTTCTATTGTGTGTTTTACGTCCATGATTTCCCTAATTCTCAGATTATTTTGGTCAAGTGAATAAAGGATTGAGAGGGGAATACGGGTCTTGTTTAAACCACTGATGCATCTTTACCATGGCCCCCTTCGAGCAACTCACCTCTCCTGGCTCATGGGGGGTCTTGTCATCACATCACAACAAACATCAGTTTATGAATGAGATGTGGTGTGAATTATATCCCCTCCAATTTGTTTGCCAAATTGTTACGGATTGATATTTCATCTGTTATGACTTTGCTTCAAAAAGTTGGAGCTTTAAGACTAAAAACGACTGCTGACAACGGCAGTTTTGTAAGATAGATGGAACACACGTTGCAATCGAATGGCATGTCAACGCGCCCATCAACTTTCATCATATGAGTTAATGAGTTAGAGGCAGACAGATAGATGAACGAGTTGCATCGGTGCGCATTTATTGATTATTTTGGTCAAGTGAATGACAGGTTTCAGACAGGAATGTGGGTATTATTTACACTCACGATGCATCACTACCACAACCCCCCTCAAATAGCTCATCTCTCCTGGGACCCAATTCTTGAATATTCTCGCACACGTTACTGGATTCGAATTGGAATGACATCAACGTAAATTAAATAGGAAACATTCGAAATCATATCAAATTTCGTATGCGAGATTATTCAAGAATTGGGCCCAGGCCCGTCGTATTAACCGAGGCCTGTCTCATAACGAGCGTCTGATTTCCCGATCGATTGTCAAGCTACCGTACGCTTGATACTAGTCTTCTGCGAAATTATGGATCGGCGTCCAACAATTCAGTTTTTTTTTTTTTTAATTGTTTATCATTTATTATGCACTGGCCAGAAAATTATATGTACCACATTGTCGATTCCAGCGAAATACGAACTAATTTCAAGACTAAGCAGGAAGTCGAGGTAAGGGAATAAGTAAGAGCAAAATTATGTTTTATCTACATAACCTTACCATGAATAGAATACCATGGCGAGATAGAATAGGCCACTTTCACGTTTTTTCGAAAACATTTTTGAATTATTGTGTTAGCCATTCTTCCAATGACATTATCATCTGTATACTTTTTTCTCCAAAAAAAAACGCCTATTTTTTGAAATATGTTAGAACGATTTAAAAATCGAATTTTTAAAGCAGGTAAAAATTAACAAGATTTTTGCTATTTACTTAGGGATTTGTATACCTGCAATCGTTATTTGACAAATGCGGAGATTAGATTCAGGCAGATGTAACTAATTATTTATGATGCTGTCTCTAAGTAACAAAACTAACCAAAACTAACCCAAATTGGAGCTGAGCAAAAGGTTAAGGTAAGGACAGCCTTAGGGTTAGTTTGGGATAGTTTGTTAGAGACAGCATCAAATAACTAGGCAAATAGCAAAATCTTATTAATCTTTAAGTTTTTTGATACTTTCCATTCCACTTAGTGAACTACTAGAATTAAAATTGCTTTACGATTTGACTACCAGAACAAAAATTAAACTAATAGGTACATATTATCAAGTAGCTTGATGGTGAGGAGCCAGGAAAACTCAAAAAGATATTCGAGACTGTAGGCGCGAGTCGCGAGTATCGAGCATACAGTAGTCCGAGTGATTTTCGTACTACCCTGCGCTTGATACGTGCCGAGGTCGGGTACCCCGAATGCGGATTGCTGGACGCTCGATACAAAAATGCGTCGGGCGAGGTCCGGCCGGATTTCGAAACAATGTCCGGAAAATTCGGAGATTGTGAAAACACCCATACTTAGTAACTTAGCTTACGCACTATTCAAAAGACGTAAAATTTTACTTCACGCATTAGTACGTTAAGTAATTCGCTTTACACACTAGTATGGGAAGTAATGTCAATGACAGATGTTGACACTGTCATTTTTTTCCTAGTAAATTACGCACTAGTGCGTAATGTATTTGTTTAAATCTATTTTTCTACACTTTTTTTATTGGTAGTAGAATTTTTTTATATGTATATGTAAACTTTGTATATGAACCTTTTTTCACGAATGTGAATTTTGTCGCACTCGCCTTTCACTTTACACAGTTGTTGCATAAGTAACAATATCGGCGAAGTCCGGATTTTGTCTGGATTTCTTGACTCCTTTGTCCTGGATTCCGAAAAACCTTTATGGAAACCCTATATCAAACATATCCGACGGACAAAATCAGGCGAAGCCAGATATTTGCATCGGTTTTCTATGCCAGCAAAAACGACAATTTTTTGCACACACCCTTCAGTTTTGCGTCATTTTTGCGCGACCAGATTTGCTCGTCGAACAAATCTGTCTAACAAAAACGCAGTCTGTGGGGCCCTTAAGAGAGCGTTTTTTCATATAGGGGTTTATTTATAAGTAGTTTCATCATTTATAGTAGTGCATAATAAAAATAATGAGAAAATAATTGAAAACTGGCATAAATGAAAAGTTTTAATGCATAGGTAATTTTATTTTGGAAAAGGTAAAAATCTCTTGTTGTGAAAGTTGGGTGATTTCACTGATCTCATTGAGTATCACGTAAAATGTGATTTTTTCAACTTTGGAAGCCTTTGGAGAACAAGCAAAGGATAACAACTTGGTATTCGCATTTTTCTACGATCATGTGAGTTGAAAAAAACAGTTTAAAGGCCATTCTGTCACTTTCTATTCAAAAATAAATTTTGATCCAGAATTCTTAAGTTTCTTCAAAAATGTTCAAATTTGACGTTTTCATACACATCATGATCCGCAGATCCCAAAAATGCGAAAAAATTCTTGGGATGCCATTCGAAATTACGAAGTTAGGGCCATTTCCAGTCAAACCGGAAGTTACCAAATATTGACACATATGTCAAAAGATGACATTTCTCAAACCTATACTCTATACCAAAAATCTTCACCATTGAAAAAAAAGCAGCAAATGCCAGCGCGAAACTAATCTCATATATCACCCAGTATGTGATATATTTCATATTTTTTTAATTAGTATATATTATTGTATGCATTCGTTTATCAGTATATCAATTATCTATTGTAAAAAATGGGCTTTGCTTGTCAATAAATAAATAAATTAAATTAAATTACTGGCTATTGATTTGCTAGAAACATTTCTAGATGCTATCAAAAGCCAATCAATCATCATTAGAGGAGGCTCTGATGAACTGGGTCTTTTGGGTACAACACAATATCAACCAATCATTAACCAATTCTCATTTCAATCATTCAAAAGGGAGAAGTTACTGACGTAAGTCATTGGGTGAAGGGAGAAGAAGCAGGAGCCTTATGGGACAGTGGAAGGGGTCTACTTAAACACCTCATTATCTATTATTATACTCTTAAAAAAAATTGCCCTCCCCCCAGAGCTAAGACTCTGTTGTAACGAATAGAGATATTTTCTCTATCTCTATTGACATCGCCTGTCTATTAATTTCGAAAAGAGACAAAAAAATAGCAAGTGCCGTAACGATGGGGATAACAATCTCGTTACAGAGTCCCAGCCCCGCAAAGTAAAATGCTTGTCAAAAATTGAAAAATCACCAATCAAATTCATTATAGTTTACCTTGAATTGGCGCATTCTTCGATCACCAACATTTTGTCGCTGGTGGTACCGAAAGACAATTCGCGGACTAATCCGGCTGTTCCCAATTTTTCTGGGCTCAATTCTTCGAATCGCGGCACGATGCGCCCTCCAGTGGCGATAGCGATCAATTCAATTTCTGGACCTCCTACCTGAAATAAAAATTTAAATCAACTAATTTTGGATGGTATTGTTTTTTTTTGGTAAAAAGCTCTAGATTTTTATTAGGTACCTTTTGTTGGTTTATTGATTAAAATACAAGTAGGTAGAAAAATAACAAATAAGAACCTTTTTGCAAAGAAAATTATTTCACTTACCCAACGGACAGCCGGTAATTGTTGTTGCAAAAGAAGATGGTTGGCTTCATCGTCAAAGCCCCATTGGCAAATTGCCAATGTAGCTCCAGCATTTTTCACCAAATTAACCTGGAAAGAAACAAATAAAAATGTCCATTTTTGCATAACAAATCTAATGATAGTTCTTACCATCTCTTTGAATTTTTCCTGTTCGTATTGTCTCAACTCTTTGTAGGCGGCAACATCACCAACATCCAACTTATGCTTGGTTTTAGGTTTTGGTGGTTCAAACGCGCAAGTTAAAATGGCCAATTTAACATCTTTCAGCTCCTTGGGCATTTGCGAGTGCGACATTGTCTTGTCGATAACCACTCCCTTAACTAATACAGTGTCTTCCAATTTGCCACCCACTTTGCCTTCGACTTTAATCAGCTCAAAATTGACATCTTTCTGTTCCAAATCGGCCACAGCTAGCACAGCGTTGACTGCGATTTCGGCCATTTGTCTGTGACACTTGTTGATGATTTTTGAACCTAAAGTGGTCATCGCGACTTGTATAAGAGGCTCGGAGTTGGTGGCGGAAACCGGGAAAAGTTCGGCGATTTTTTCCAAATGAGCTACGGCAGTTTGGCAGGCCATTTCGAAACCGTCGGCTATTCTTATGGGGTGGATACCGCGGTCTACTAGACTGGCTGCTTGCTCTAGCAAAGCCCCAGCGAGTACTACGACTCCGGTGGTACCGTCGCCGATTTCGTCGTCTTGGGATTGGGATAATTCTACCAGAAGTTTGCCAATTTCGTGTTCGATGTCCATCATTTTTAAGATAGTGGCTCCGTCGTTGGTTACGGTAACGTCACCTGAGAACAAAATGTTTTGTGTGAAATTCAGGGCAATTTTGTCTGCTTTGGATTTTTTCATATTAATTAACCCAAATATTCATCTTTACAAAAATCCACAGTAAAATCTTATTGATTTGTATTTAGAAAAGAAAAGAAAAAAAAAACATTATTCAATTGACACACATATACAAAAATATCTCAAGCTTTCTAGAATGTTCCTGAAAGTTCGGAATTGACCCGGTCCGTTTTAGAATAATTCTGAAATTCTAATTTGATTCTATAGTGCATTTTACAATGTTCTTGAAAGTTTCAATTTGTCTCTGATAACTGCAGGAGGATTGAAAATTGAATGTAAAGTCTTATGCAGCGTATCAAAGTTCTAAATTTATTCTTAAGTGCTCTGGAGCGTCTTAAATTGTTTAAAAATATTCGAAATTGGCACAAACGCATTTTGAAGTTTTTCAAAATGCTTTCTAAAGTTCTCAATAGGGTACTTGCATGGAAAATTAAATTGATTATTGTTTATTGCAAACTGTAGGAAATCGAAAAAAAATCGTTACTTTTTTTTCATTTCGCCCAAATATGATTATTTCGGAAGTTATACAAATATTAAGTTTTGTATATATAGATATACTGAGCATGTGCGACGTCATAAAGTATTATACCTGATGACGTCATAGGCATATTTCATAGCGTTGTATCTCCGTCAATTTTTGACTAAGAAGAAAAAGAAAAAACACGTGTTGACTTATTTTTCATGGACTATCGAAATCAGCAATAAAAAATTTTGATGCAAGGGGCCTATAAAAGTTACCAGAAATGTCTCAAATATTCTTAATTCGATTCTTAAGCTCTTTTTGTTAATTCTAATTGTGATGCCAAAGGAACCCACAATATTTAAATGGGAATTGGTTACCTGTGATATTTGGATGAAATTTAAATCTGTTATTGTTATTGGGGATGCTGTAAGCAACATTTTTTACCACGCGCAGAACCCTGTATATATGACAGGTGAGGCGTGGTTAGCTGTCAAATATTGGAATCTTATATCCAAAAGCAGAGTGACTATGGCAGATTTTGATGAACGAAGTATCGATGTCTACTAAGTCGACCAAGTTAAGTTGAAAAATGTCAACCATTTTGACATCTGTCAAAACCCTGCCAAACGGCAGCATTCATCTTTTCCCGTTTTCAATAGTTTATGATGTCATTTGACATTTTTAACTTGCATGTAAATTCTGGATTCAAAAATTGGAAAAAAAATGACAGAACTGTCAAAACCTGTCATTTGTTTTAGTAGAAAAAAATACCCTAAATCTGTTTTTTTTTTTGCTTCAAGGTAGTTTATTGGTGATAAAACATTAAACAAAGTTCATGTCACATTTTGACAACTGTCAGAATCTGTTAAAAGCTTTTTGGTTCATATTGAGTTTGTTTGCAGTGAAGTTCTACAACGGGCATAAAATTGGTTTAGTTTTATTGTATTATTCTATCATTATAGTTGTAGAACTTCACTAAGCAGACAAACTCAATATGAACCAAAAAGCTATAAACAGATTCTGCAGTTGTCAAAATGTGACATGCATGAAGTTTGTTTAATGTTTCATCACCAATAACTACCTTGAAACAAAAAAGAACCAGATTGGAGTATTTTTTTCTACTAAAACAAATGACAGGTTTTGACAGTTTTGTCATTTTTTCATTCAGAATTTACATACAAGTTAAAAATGTCAAATGACATCATGAAACATGAAATATTGAAAACTGGAAAAGATGAGTGCTGATGTTTGGCAAGGTTTTGACAGGTGTCAAAATGGTTGACATTTTTCGACTCAACTTAGTCGACTAGAAATAGATTTTTTGTTCATCAAAATCTGCTATAATTACTCTGCTTTTGGATATAAGATTCCAATATTTGACAGCTAACCACGCCTCACCTGTCATATATACAGGGTTGTGCCCATGGTAAAATATGTTGCTTACGACATCTCCAATAACATATTTAAATTTCATCCAAATATCACGGGTAACCAATTTCCATTTAAATATTGCGGGGTCCTTGTAAATAAGTTCAGAATAATTGTTTTAGAGTGTTCTAGTATGTTTATAGAAGTTTAAGTTAGTTATAGAGTGTCATGTGACGATTATTAGGATATTCTGGAAGTTTCCAGTTCTAGATTTTTTTCATCAAGTTCCATATGATTTGTGAAGTGTTCTAGAGTGTTCCAAGAGCTTTCTAAATAAAATGTTTCTAAGAGTTCAGAAGTGTTCTGGTCTGTTCAAGAATGTTTTTAAGGCTGTGGTCCGAATATCACTAGGGTTGTGGTTTCGCGGTCCGAAAGTAATCAAATTATTCTGGTTCCTGGAAAAGTGGTTACTTTTGGACCTTGGTTTCCTGAAATTTGGTTAACCAAATGTCAAAATAGTTACCGGCTATCGGATGTCGGTTCTGTTGGTTTTATCTGTAAATTCTGTCAATTATTTTTTATTTGATACTAGCTGACCCGGCGAACTTCGTACCGCCTCTGAATTATTAAATATACCTATTAAATGTTGTGTTAACGTATCTATTAGCTGAATTAAATTCAGTTTTTTTCGATGGTGAATTTGGCTTTGGTTGAAGAAAATTAATGTTTACTCTCTGGATCAGAAGTCACCTAAAATTCAAATTTTACATCATCCTTTTTTAGGCAGCTTGTGGGCATTATTCTTGTAAAGTGTACCACCAAATAAATAAACTCAGGCACAGAAATGTTCGAAGAATGCAAAGAAAACAAAAAAAAATCTCTAGCGCAGCCCTGTTTCACTCTATCTGCACTGCACTACTCAATCTGTTCTACTCTATCTGCACTACTCTATCTGATCTACTCTTTCTGCACCACTCGATCTGGGCCGGGGATTCTTAAATCACGATTCGACATACGACTCGACAACGAGACGATTTTTCCGAAGATTCTAGGTTAGAAATCTCATTGGAATTATACCTTTCGACACGACAAGGCCGGTATCGTTGTCGAGTCGTGTGTCGAATCGTGATTTTAGAATCTCGGCCCAGATCGGAATAGTGGAATAGTTCTGTTCTGTTTCTTATACGTAAATAAATAAATAAATAGCTCCAGTTCCTGTGCAGCATTGTTCTACTGTATCTGCAATGCCGAGCTTTGTTCCAGGTATCAGAGATGGCGCGGTATACAAAATACAAAATAAACTTGGTATCGGTTATAAGAGATGGCGCCGTATGCGGGCTTAGTATAGCTATTTACCTAACAAGTGCGGAAAATGAATTTTTGTAAGGGTGACAGAGGTACAGGAAAAAACAATTAATAAAAATGCATATATCTATGACTATGCTAAAGGTAACTTTTTACATTTTTATCAATTAATATCGGAATATGATTGGTCCTCTCTATTGTCATGTCAGGATGTGGGGATGGGTTTGAATGAGTTTTATGAAAGTATGTACAGATTCCTAGATAACTCTATACCAAAGATCAAAATAAATTTAAACAGTGAAGCTAAATTTCCTACCTGGTTCTCCATAGACCTTGTACGTAAAATTAGGAGGAAAAACAGGCTCCATCGTTCTTTCTTAAAAAACGGGCCAGATAACCCAGAAAGTGCAGAATATCTGTCATTGAGAGTACAAAGCTTTGCAAATGCATTTGCGGAATATTTTGCATCAGTGTATGGGACATCTGATTGCTCTGACTGCAACTGGGATGATAGAGAGTGGGGTAATTTTTGTTTTAGAAAGATAACTGAATTTGATGTTATCAACAGTATAAAAAAGCTTAAACCAAAAAAATCTACAGGTCCAGACGAAATACCAGCATATATCTATAAGGGATGTGCTGAGATGTTGGCAAAACCGCTGGCCCATCTTTTTAACGTGTCATTTGAACAAGAAAGCTTTCCTGATCTATTAAAGCTGGCAACAGTGCCGCCAATTCATAAGAAAGGTAGAAAAAATGAAAGACAAAATTATAGACCAATAAGTCTGCTGAACAGTATTACAATAGTTATTTGTGTACCAAGGCCGTAAAGTTGATCTTTTTTGGCCGAATCAGAAATTTGCGGCCGAGGCCAAGCAAATTTCAGGTGAGGCCAAAAAAGATCATTCGGCCGAGGTGCACACAAAATTTTTTAGGCGAGTGTTTGTTCTTGAAAAAAGAAGAAAATTCAACAGTAGCTTTAAACTTTATTGATCAAAATTGCCGACTTTTTCGCCTGGTATCTTACATTGGTCACGTTCGCCAGCACTCAACATGTTGAGTGATTAGTCAACGGCTTTGTTAAAAACAGATGAAAATCAGCTCTACGCCAATCAAAACTGTTCTACCTTGTGAATTCCACTTGTTGGAACAAAGCCGCTGACTAATCACTCAACATGTTGAGTGCTGGTGAACGCGACCATTGAGCTTTTTTAAAAAAGCAATCAATTTTGACAACTTGCTGATATGTTAGGTATTTCCGACTATAATTGTAAATTTTAACATAGAGTATAACATAGGTGGACCTGAAGTCCATAACGTTGAGGATTATTTAATTTTGACATTTTCCGAAAAAAATGCAAGAAAATACTTCTCCCAAATTTTTAATCATGCCGTTTTTTTTAGCATTTTATCTGGAAATTTAAATAGAGCTAAAATTGAAAACTATTGGTTTCATTATTCATTGTGGTTGCTAACTAATTGTTTATTCGTTGTGTTGATGGTTACGGCACTGCGTTTCCAATTGTTTGTTTATTTTCACCAAAGTAGCAGCCGTAAAGTAAAAGCGGCCGTGAAGTAAAAGCGGCCGTAAAGTAATAAAGCAAATGCGGCCGTGAAGTAAATGCGGCCGTAAAGTAAATGCGGTCAAAAAAGATATACTTTAGGGATGATATTGAATCCGTAAAACTAATCTTATTGTGACAGTCGCCTAAAAAAATCTTTTCCTACGACTGCCTCTGAAAATGGAGTTTTTCGCACGCTAGGCAACCTCTGAAATTAGAGTTTTTCGCACAGCGTGCGAAAAAG